CGGCCCCTCCAGGCCACGCTCCCCAGCCTTCTCAGGCCAAGGGCCGACCTCCTGGCCACGCAGGACCCCCTGGGGGCCGCCCACTCCCAGGGGCATGGGTGCCGGGACCCTGGGCAGCGGAGCCCTTGAGAGCAGGTCAGGGGAATTCCTGGGGAACGGGCCCCAGCCCAGCCTGGAGGGAGGCAGGGCGCCGCCCTCGTGGAAGGCCACCGCCCAGAGTGGGGGCCTTTTGCCTGAGTCCACTGCCCCGGCCCCTCACGCTGGCCAACGCAACCACAGTGCACAGAAGGACCATGCCTTCGTCCGTACAACTGCCACGCCCGCTCTGGGGGAAACTGAGGCCCAGGCCCCCTGCGGACACCACGGAGGGCGCCATGCCAGGGGCCGTGGGGAGGGGGCACCAGGGGACCGGGCCCACGGTAGACGCCCCTGCCAGTGGCAGGCCTGGTCCCGGACTGCGTCCTGCACGCCCGCCTCCGGCTCACCCCCCAGGAATGTGCCCCTCCTCTCACATCCTTTTCCTGCCCTTCCTGCCTGGAGCGGAAGCCGGCTCAGAGCTGGCTGAGGCGCCCAGGCGGAAGCCCCGGCGTAGCCAGGGCCTAGGACCTGTGCAGGGCTGCTGCCTCCGCACCCAGGCCAGGGCGCACCTGCAGGCCAGGCGTGATGGCCTCAGTGCCAAGTGGGCACTGGCAATGCCAGGCCCCTGGGTTTCTGACCACACCAAGGCTGGCCGTTGCCCCTGATCCCTCAGAGGTGCGGACCCAGTGGGGATTCAGGCCGAGGAAGACAGGGCGGGGGCTTGTGCTGGGAGCCAACAAACACCACGTCCTGTCCCTTGGAGCGCCCACCATGTGCCAGAAGCTGGCCCGGTCAGCAACCCGGGACCAGCTGGGCTAAGGCACCACTCCACAGATGGAGAGGGGAGGCCCAGCCCAAGTGGACGGCCCTGGCCTTCCTGCTCCCCATGGTGACTGCCGAGCCTGAGGGTCAGGCAGGGCGCCGAGGCGAGCAGGCCAGCTGGGCCCCAGCAGGGATGGGGACCCTCTGCGGCTCGGGTGGACAGGACCTCTGGCCACAGGTCCTGTCCTGGGGAGGCAGACTGGCCACACGCCTTGCCTGCTGGGCTTAAGGGGAGTAGCAGGGTGCCTGAGCCGCCTCCCAGCATGGCTGCCTCCTGGAGGCTCTGCTCTGACCCAAGGCCCGGCATGGACACCAGCCCTGGCCTCAGGCTTGGGGAGGCAGGAGGCTGCGTGTCCTTCTCGTTCCCCAGGCATCCGGCCCAACTCTGCCCTTCCACCCTGTGCGACCTCTGGAAAGAGGAGGGGACAGTCCTGTGTGGGCCTCATGGCCACACCCGTGCGGTCTAGCCTGCCTTCCTGCCACCCCAGCCCTCTGCTGCCCAGACTGCCTGTGTCCCTCCAGGACGCCCTGGGCTCACTCGCTGGCTGCCGGCCACCATCCCGCCCCAGGCTCTGAGGCACCCCCACCCGGGGGCTGAGACTTCCTCAGCCCGGGGACACCTTAGGCCCCTCCCCGACCTGGGGTCAGACACCAGGCGGCTAGGGTGGACAGCGGCCCCGGTGCCAGGCGGTGCCTCAGCGGCCAGCGGGCAGGCAGGAGCCGCCACAGCGATTGTCTGCTGCAGTTCCTGCCCGGGGCGTCCTTCCTGCGCTCTGGCCGTGCTGGCCGGGCTGAGTGTTTGTTATTTGATCTGTATCCTCGCTCGGCCCTTCTACCAGGTGTCTGGGCTGCTGGGAAGAAATCCTCTCCTCTTTCCCACGCTCCCCGACACATTTTAATGAATTAGCTGGAAGCCCCGCCCCCACCGCTCGCCTGCCCGTAGGCCAGCTCGCCAGCCCTCCCTCCCTGCCTAGCGCCTTTAAGGTGGCCGCAGGCCTTGGCCCCGTTCTGGCTAGGCTCTGGCTGGCAGCCCCTGCGGTGCTGTCCTCCCCCAGCTGCCCCACCCAGACCTTCCCAGACCGGGTCCCGGAATGTGCCCCATATTCCTCCCCCACCCCCACTGCTCTGAGCCTCCAAAGGAATAAGGTCCACTGAGGGAGGAGAGCCCTCGCCAGCCCTGGCCTCAACCCACCATCACCTTCCCAGGTCGGCCCCCCGGCCAGCCCCCCGGAGGAAGACGGGGTCCGGCCTGGTAGTCAGGATCGGGTCCGTCTCCCCAGATCCCGGGTACGGGCTTCTCTTTCAAAGCCAGGGAGCCTCTCCATAAACACGGGAAGAGGGGCTTCTCAAAGCCCCAGGGGGGCCTGGCGCTTGGGGTCCCCTCCCCCTCCCACGAGGGCGCTGCGAACAAACGTCCTCTTTATGGGCTGAGGAGAGTGTGCACTGGGAGCCGGCCGTGTGAGGTCAGCTCTGGGGCGTGGGGTGTGGGCCCGAGCGACCGGGAGTGAAACCGGGGCTCCCTGTGGCCAGGGTGGCTGCCACCAGAGCCACAGAGCCGCGCGCCAGGGTGAGGGGGCTCCAGCAAGGCCCACATTCCCGGCGAGGCTGGATGGGGAGAGCTCCGACCTCGCTCAGGCTGGGCTCCCGTGGCCACTCCAGACACACAGTCCCTGGGGGGGGGCGGCGCCTGAGCTGCCAATTTCATGGCCCGTGGTGGCGACCGTGCGTTCCCACACTGAGCGCACAGGGCCCCTTTGTCTGCCCGCCCCGACACCCGACAAGGGTGTCAATGGGACTTTTCTCGCAGGCTCTGCTCCCGCGCCCAGCAGGGCCTCCAGATGCCCTCCTCTGGACCAGGGGCCCCGAGCCCACCTGGGTGGGGCCTGCCTGTGCAGCCACCACCTTCCGGGCATGGCCCTGGACATGGCTGGGTCCTGGAGATGCATGAAAAACACAGACAGGACTGGGAAGGAACTCTGCTCCCCATTCCCCCATCCCCTAGGGAGCAGCAGGTGGGACGGCCCTGCACAGGGTCACATGCCTACCCACTCCTAGGGTCCCTGTCCTTGGCTCGGCCTCCCGAGGAGCCCATGCCCTAGTCCCTGGTCCTGGGTGGAGGGTGACTAGGAGCCGCACCCTCAAGGTGTTCACAGTCCAGCAGCAAGTGATCCCAGGCGCCCTTACTGGGACAAGGGAGGGGCTCCTGATAGCAGTGGCTCCCAAGGTCACACCCCCAGCCAGACCAAGTGCAAGGCCTGGGCTCGTGGCTTCTGTGCCTGCTCAGCCGGGGCTTACCCACCAGCATGATGTGAGTTCCTGAGGGAAGTAGGTGTGCTCGGAAGGGCTAGGCCACCAGAGTGAGGGACTCAGGTGGCCCTGGCCACCAAGGACCCCAGGGGAGTCAGCCAGGGAGCAGGTCTGAGGGTGGCTGGCCAGAGGCAGCCAGCTCTGGGGTGGCCTTGCCCAGTTTTTCTTGTGATTTGTCTGTGACCCTGCCCAGAGCACCAAGCAAGGTGGGGGGCACCCACATGGGTCGTGAGGCGTGACGGGGAGCCCAACCCCAAACAAGGCCTGACAGGGTGGTCTCCCCAGCTGAGGTGCAGAGCTGCCTCGTGGGGAATTCCCAGTAGCGTCTGAAGGGGCGCGAGTCCCTGTGTGCTGCCTGCCGCCAGGCCCACGCTCTGGGAACCATTTCTCCTTAATACCCAGCGACCACAGCTGAGCTATAAACTATAAAATGCTAATGAGGAAATTTGGCAGCAGCATTAGAGTGTCCATAAAAAATGGGTTTACAGCTTGAAAATGAGTCACTTCAAAGTTGCCTCTCAGAGCAGTCCTTGGTGGCTTCCCTAGGGCTGCTCACCTGACCAGGCCTTACCTGTCCCTATTCATGCTGACAGGGGTGGGGGGGTGGGGGTGGCCCAGGGCAGGGAGGCCGGCCCTGAGGTCCCCGTTAACTGACTGATCCTACTGCAGAGCCTCAGGCCATGTGGCCCGCAGCCAGGGGCTTCCTCATCTAGGAACCATGCTTCTTCCTCTGGACAGGGCTGAAAATCTGGGGATTTGGCACCTCATGCCACTCAGGTTGAGGAGTAAACATGGTGACCTGGCACACCAGGGAGCTGCCCTCGCGCAAAGAGCATCCGCGTGGCTGAGGCCACACGCCCAAGCTGCTAAAGGAGTTGTCACCGGCACTGACCATGTGTCTCGGGCCGGGCTGGGCCCCTCTCGTCTCGCGTCTGTTTTGTGCCAGGACCCAGAGGGTCCTCGGTCCGCGCTCCGACAGCTCAGAGCAAGACCAGGGTCCCTACCCGGGTCTCCCGGGTCTGAGGTGTTCGCGAAACCCCGCCCAGGGGAGACCGCTCTCGGCGTGCCGCAGGGTCGCACCCGGCCCGGGGCCGGGACCTGGGTCTGTCGGGGCAGGGAGCTTGGAATTCCCCGGGTGGACGGAGGCAGAGTGGGCGGGACGACAGCGGAGACACGGAGGGCGGGGTGGGGACGG